ACTGCTTTGCAGTACTTGTGTCATTGGTCATCTTGATGTCGATACAAATATAGAAGCCTTGTCTACAAGTCTGGAAATACACAGCGTATGGGTAAGGGAAGGGTTATACCAGGATGATGGCATGGATTGGGTCAGCGTTAGTCAGCTCTTTGCTTCTCAGAGGTGGCTTCTATGCAGTGTGATTTGGGCCCCTGGAAGGTGATCTCTTGGCTGCCATCTCTTAAGGTTGCTTGAGGCTGTTCTTGCCAGACCAGCATTCATATGTCTCTGGGACCTCCTGGGAAACAGTTCCTCCTCCAAGATTTTTTCTGTGAAATATAAAATTTTCAGCTTCAAAGTCCAAGTGCAATATTTGGGACCCCCTCATCCCATCCCTAAAAAGCCCAGAATCCAGACCCTTACACATTCTCTTCTAAATGACACATCATTTATGGGCTGAGTCTGATTTCCCACATTGCCCGTGGTGATCTTGTTTGACACTTCAGAAAATTCTGTTATCTAGTCTGCTGCTCTAGGGCATAGACCACTTTGAAAAATTCCTTTTTATTTCCCAAGGTAGAGGTACACAGCAGGTCAGTAAATCTCCCAACTCCTGAAAATGTACCCAGTTGAACATACCTGTACTTGAGAGCGATCATGGCTCCTTTGTCTCCATCTTTCCCATCCCTGATGTTGCAGTTCTGGAAAGACTCTCATTATAGTGATTGCTAATGCTTGTTAAATGCCACTAAGTGCTGGGCACTGTTCTAAGTTCCTTGCTAACGTATTGCCTTTTTGAATCCTTACAACACTTCTATAAGGTAGTTACTGTTAAGATACCGTTTTATGGGTAAAAAAGTTGGTGCTTAGAGAGGGCCGGTAACTTAAGCAAAGTTACCCACCTGCAGAGCCAGGATTTGAAGCTGGGACCTGACTCCAGAGACTGTGCTCTAGGATCGAGGGTCCTGGACCACCTCCCTGCATTCACTGCAGTATGTGCACCAGGCTGGGAGCTTTAGTTTAATCTTTCAGCCATGCCACAGGGATCATAGCATTATCCCATTTTGCAGTTTTCAAAGGCAGGAACCTGCTTGAGATTTTCATCAATAAGTGACTGAGCTGCTGCTTTGAACTCAGATCTGCCTGGCCTTGGAGCCTGCTGGTAGCAGCTTTCCATAGATGCTACCTAGATGGGATGGAAGCTACTGGAACTTGCATTTGATCTTCTTCTTGCCCCTTCCATTTCCCCACCTCAGCGCCTTATTCCTTCTTAGCTTTGGACCTGCCCAGGACAATTTTTGCAATCTTGGGCCTTTCAGAGGTTTTGGAACGTGACTTGGAACTCTACAAGGGACTTGTCCCAGTTTCCATTTTCTGCTCTGTGTTGTTAAACACCCACATCAGGTGGTTGTGAGAATTGAGATGAGGCTTGTCAGGGACTGACACATTGCCAGGCACATAGACAGTGCTCGCTACATGACAGCCACTATTTTTGCCATTCGTTTTAGAAACATAGTAGTTAGATAGAAATGGTCTCTCTGGGCCACTCATTTTCACAGGATTCAACTCTGTAAACCTCGACTGAACAGTCAACATGCTGAGCTCTGGGGACACCAAGATACCTGACATGCTGTGTGCCTTTAAGGCATCGTGTGCTAATAAGGGGAGACAGAGGTGACTAATTATCGCAAACCCTGCAACATGCTGCAGGGCTAGGGAAATGAGGGTGGGCTTCTCGGAAGAGGTGCCTTTTCATTCAGGCCTGAATAGATGAGTTGGGTTTTATCACTTTGGAAATGGGGGATGAACATGAAGAAAGATGGGTGCTGGCCAGGAAATCCATGAAATAACATCTGTTGGATTATATCTTACTCAGGGGAGAGGCTGTCTTATATAGAGCCCAAACAGTACAGTCAGAATTACTGTGGACGGTCCCCCAGGAGGCCACTGGACCAGACAGATCTCTCTCTGTGCAGTTGAGTCCAGAGAAAGGGGTTGGGTGGTATTTGGGGGCTGCATGGAATGACATGTGCAAATGTTTTGGGATAGGGGTCATGTTCGTGGTGACGAGCTACTCCTTCCAGGAGAGGCATGGCAGGGTTGAGGGACTGTCCTGTGCAGTCCAGGGCACCCTCTACTGAGCGGACTGGTGGCAGAGGTGCCCACACCCTGAATGTGTTCCCCGTCATGCTGTCATCCCGCTTAGATCCAGCATGAGCAGCTCATTAGTGCAAACTAGATGTGCATGTGACATGCCACCACTGAACGAGACAGACGTCTGACAGGGACGGCTGGCCAGTAGAGTGCAGTTTCTTTGAAGAAGAGGAGATTTGCCTCTTCCAGCCTCACATTGCAGTGATGAATGTCCTATTGCTTTGCCCCCATATGACGTTCAGGCCAGCCGAGAACTCCAGTGGCCCTAAGAAAATCCAGAATTCAAGCTGGCCTTGGAGGAAAGGAGCAATTCCCTGAGTCTCTGTCCACAGTACCTGATGCCACCTGCTCTAGGTTTCTTAGAGAGCCAAAGAGGTATTATCCTGCCTGTCTTCAATAATATGACTGTTTTTTTTTCATGCCTATAATATCATGGGAATAAATTATTCATGTTTTTTTTCCCTATAGACTTATCAGTGTTTCCAGTTAAAAATAAAATTCTAATTCACAATAGCAGTATGATACGTTCTTCTAAATCACTAATGCTCCCTGCTACTGTCCATAAGAGGCACTGTTTCCCATAGCACCATCCTGTCCAATCTCTCCTCTGATCCTCACAGCGCCCCAGGAGGTGCAAAGAAATCTTCTGCTCCCTATTTGTGCCTGAGAGAAGGGCTCAGAGAGGCTGAGGCACTGGTACAAGCTCCAAGCAAGGGCCCTGGTTACCTGGTCGAGTTTAGCATGAAAAGCTGTACAGACTCTGTTTCACCATAGGCATCTGTGAATGTGCATTATTGTCTTCCATTACGACATCTTACTTTCAGGGTTCTCCTTCCTTAGGTGAGTTGGGAACGTGGCTCTCTCCTTGGGAAGGTACCTGTACCCAGTAGGTGCCCAGTAGATGTTTACTGACAAAATGAATGAATGTATGAGCTCTGGGCCATCATAACTACAGGTGTGCAGCATGGCCCTGGCAGGCGGCACGCTCTGTTCTGGCTTCATCCATTTCATGTCCCAGCTCCCTTCTGTAGGGGCAGCAGGATGGCAGGCCTCCCTCTTTCTGCCTCTCAAGGCTGATTAACTCTGCCATGGGCTTAATCTTCCTTTTCTTCTCAGTCCTGGCCCCCCCCTTCTAATTTTTATTAACATTTTTTGTGGAAAGGTGTTTCCTACCTATTTTTTCTATTATTAACATTTCAAACATTGAGGAAAGTTGACAGGATCGCATATGGCTCTGGCCTTACAACATGGCACCAGGAACTAAGCCCTCAGTGTCCTGGATGTGGCCTCATCACCTGGACCTGTTGTTGTTCAGTGGGCTCCAGAGTGCTTGGCTCTGGACGTAGCCCACACATAACATTGTCTCCTTCTGTCAATGATATGTGTCTTCACAGCTCAGCGTTAGGAGCAGCAAACTTTGGGGCAGAGACTCAGTTGCCTTCCTGGCTCTGATGTTTACGAAGTGTATGGTTATGTATCTTATTCAGGAACCTCCACTGATTTGTTCCTCATCTGTAAAATGGATTAATGTTACTGTGTCGATAAAATAGCAGTTCTTACCTCCATGGCACGTGAGGTTTTATTTCTTCACTGCAGTCTGAGGACAGCGTTAGTCCCAAGACCCCATTTCCTGCTTTGGGGTCTTTGGTGGCTTCTTTCTCCCTGGGTATCCTGAGTATAAGGGGACCAGAGGGACCCACTTACTTATCTAGGCCTTCTCCCTCCCCATTTACTTCTTCTTTCCTTCTTTGCAATTTATTTATACCCCAATAGAAAGGGAATAGTGACTTATATTTCTTAGGTGTGTATAAAGGATTAAATGAGATAGCGCCAGTAAGGGCATTGAACTATTTGGCAAGTATATGGGTTTAAATTTTAGCTAAAAGGAAGAAACCAACAAACCATACTTTCTTCCAAAAAAGGATTTGAAGCAGCACATTAAAACAGATTTTAAAAAAAGCAAGACATGTTATAAGTAAAATTGGTAATTGGTACAAGGTGGAAAAGAAGACCAGAGGGAAGGTTGGGACAAATAGTGGTTGCTACATAGCCACGTCCACTTGCTAGCTGTGTGATTTTGGCTGTGAGCTTCCTAGCAGCCAGTGCTAAGAGGGAAATATAGTTCACAAGGTCCATTAAGGGAAGTAAACAAAACAACACTGGCTCTCCGAATTCAGAAGTTCTGGTCTTGAGATCTGACTGAGTGATCTTTCACTGTCTTGTGGACAGTTGCAGCAATTAACTTTGATGTAGATCGGAAGCTTGCATGCTTATTTAATTTAAAAGTGTGGTTTTCTATCCATGAAGCCTTTCATATGTTGAAGATGTTCAGAAGAGTAACTCCTGCAGGTGATTATGGACTGTGTATTGGAGACGCCTCCTTCCTCCCTTATAATGTCACCTAAGTATAGAAGTCAGTGTAACAAAATCAGAACTTCTATTAAACTTGAGTTACTATTTCTATGCTGGTATGGACCCAAGTGTCACTGGATCTGTCTAGGTTGATAAATAGCTATACCTGGGAATAAATTGTTATTCAAAATAAATGTTGTTCAATAACAAAGACTTGGAAAAATGCTTAGGAATTTTGAGCCTGGCTTTTCCACAGCGGCTGAGTATGTTCACCAAGGAAACACTTCCACATTACTCTCATCCTGCCCCGACCTTCCGTTTTGTGTGGCTGATGAAAGAGTGATCAACTGAGCCCACTGGGACTCTTAAGACTGTGTAGGAATTATTTTTGAAAGGGGAAGGGGAACTTATCTAAACAAGTCATTCTTAGTAGCATGTAATCCACAGAGGTGAGGGGATGGTATAACAACAGGTAAGAGCTGCCCATTCATTTTGACTTTGCTTTCTTCTCTTAGATGAGCTGCGACAAGCCATCGTAGCCATGATGAACAGAAAGGATGAGCTGGAAGAGGAAAACAGGTACTGTGATCTTCAGGCTTGAGGAATAGTTTACTTCTTTGACATTCCACCTCTGGGATCAAGAGAATACAACAGATGAAAGAAATTTTGCATTATTGGCAAAATCATGCCTGGCAATTTCTTATTTTTTGTCTGGGATGTGCCACTTTAGTACAGTCCTGTGCAGCATAACGTTTTGGTCAATGATGGGCCACATAAACAATGGGGGTCCCATAGATGATAATGATTATACCGTGTCATGTAGGTGTGTAGTAGGCTATACTATCTAGGTCTGTGTAAGTACACTCTGTGATGTTTGTATGATGATGGAATGGCCCAACAATGAATTTCTCAGAACGTATCACCATTGTTGAGTGATGCATGACCGTATGTTTCTTGTGGCTTGTGTGTAAGCTGGGAATGAGAACCTCACAACAATGGCACCACCTTAGAACAGATGAAGAATTTGGTACAACATTCTTGAATTCTTTTCTTAAAAACAACCTTTATTGAGATACAATTCACATACCCTACAATTTACCCATTTAATGCACAATTCAATGGTTTTTAGGATATTTACAGATGTGTGCAGCCATCACCACAGCAAATTTTAGAATATTTTTGTCACCTCATAAAGGAACCCTGTACCTTTGGCTGTCACCTCTCTAACCTCTAAAGCAGTCTGTTGAGTAACGTTTATTTGAGGGCCTATCTACTATATTTCAGGCACTCCAATACTTGTTTTAAAGTTTGCCCAAATCAGAGGTACTTAGGGCAAGATGATATCTGGATACTTGGACTTGGCTAAAAACCCAATTGCAGAGACTGACAGGGAAAGGGTATTATTAATCTTTCTTCCCTGGTGAAACCAGTGCTAGGTGCTACTTGGTATTGGCTGCACTGCTGCCATCTGACTGTCTGAAGTTGAGCTTCTCAACTGCCAGAACCTTGTCTTGACTATGGAGTGGTCAGTAAGGGGCTTGCCGGCACTTATCCATGTAGCCTCTGTGAGCACCATCAGCCTGCCTCCCTGGAGGCGGTGTGGGGTGGGGGTGGGGGTGGTGCATGTGCTTCTGGGTGCATGTGTGTGTGTGTGTGTGTTCATATCACCCTCTTATTCTTTACCCAGAGCAGAAATTCAGGGTCCCTGGTAACATCCAGTCATGATTTTCTTTTTAATATTACTATTTTAAAATTTTATTTGCTTTTTATTTTTGGCGGCTGGCTGGTACGGGGATCTGAACCTGTGATGTTAGTGTTACCAGCACCACGCTCTCTCAAGTGAGCTATCTGGCCAGCCTTTTTTTAAATCTTATTTTGAGCCCTGCTTGACAAACTCTTCCCTCATCCTTTATGGGAACATGTAAAAACAGACAAGCATGATTTCTAACACAAAAGAGGATATTTTTAAAAGGAATCTTTAGACAGTACCATTTTCTGACTGAAGTAACTTTCACCAAAGGGCCTGTAGCCGTTGCAGGGTTCTTTTTCCTTGTTCCAGCTGGGACCGTTATCTTGGAAGGAGCCATAAGTTTTGCTTTTACCTTGTGAAGAACAATAGTTTCTTTCTTTTTTTTTTTTTTCTTTTTGTCTTTTTTTTACTGACCGGCAACAGGATCGCAACCCTCAGTGTCGCGCCTGCACCGCGCTCAGCCAGTGAGCGGGAACCGGTCTCCACATGGGATCCGAACCCTTGGCGGGAGTGCCGCCGCACTCCCAAGCGGCGCACTGGAGAGTGCGCCACTGGGCTGGCCCCAAGAACAATAGTTTCTGTCTGTTAATCTCTCTCCTTCCCAGAGAAGGAAAAAAAAATCATACCATGTTTGTACCAGGGGCTCCCAGACCCCAAGAGGGGAATTTTCTCAAAGCTGTTAGTGAACACAGGTCTTGGAGAATTCAGTGAATAATGGGAGTGTGTGGGCGGGTCAGACATTTTTGCTTGTATTCTGATGTTACATGGCCAGTGTCCTCTGACTTAGTATGTAGATGCACCACAGTCAGTAATTCATGTCTAGAAATAGCCATTTCAGGTACAGTGAAGTAAATGGTCAGCAGAACCATGTATGGCTCAGTCCTAGGTGGTAACTGGTGGTGAGTTCTAGAAGAGCCTCTGCCTTCTCCCTTATTTCAGATCAGGAATGATGGATGCACAAGTGAACATGTTCTGTAGGGCTGACAAGCTTGGGAATGTAAAACCACTATGCCATATCAAACTATATAGTGATATAAAATGCTTTGCAGGCTTGTTTAACCTAGAAATAGCAACGGAACACAGGCTCACTGTGTATTTTGTGGGCAGAGGAGGAAGAGACTAGACACCTGTCAGATCTTCTGAGCAGGTACTTTATTTTTATGCCTTAGATTATTCTTTCAGCCTTTTCTGGCATGTTTTCTTTTGTTAAATCTCTTACCCGGTGTGGCTGTGACAAAATGGTGTCAGTTTAATGTGCTACACCTTTGAGCAGGATGACTTGAAAGGGGACTTGCCTGGGAGTTGCTCAACTCATTATCTTCCCTTGATTGAAGGTGTCAGATGGCCAGCCTGCTCTCATGCGATCAGGACACGGAGCCTGGGCCACAGATGAGTGCTCTGGAGTCCATCCTAACTATTATTCTGAGGCTCTTGACCAGAGTTTGGTATCTTCTTAAATAGTTTAGATGAGATAGACTTGAATTATGGCTTGTGCAGAGCCTTGTGGAGAATGAATGAATTAGGACATGATTTAGGTGAAGAACCGTGTTCTGGGCTCGATGAAGTATGAGTTGACAGCATCTGAACAGACGGGGTCCCCTCTTCTCAGATCACTGCGGAACCTGCTCGATGGCGAGATGGAGCACTCAGCTGCACTCCGGCAAGAGGTCGACACCTTGAAAAAGAAGCTGGCTGAGCAGGAGGAGCGGCACGTCATGAAGGTCCAGGCGCTGGCAAGGTAGGGGAGGGGGAGGGACACAGAGCCAAGCATGTGGGGATTTAGTTAAAATCTCAAGCATACCTTCAACCTGCACTTTTTATTTTTTATTTATTGTTAATTTTTTTGGTGGCTGGCTGGCTGGTGCAAGGATCCAAACCCTTGACCTTGCTGTTATCTGGCCAGCCTTCAACCACAGTTTTTAATTTAAAAAAAAAAAAAAAAAAATGACCAAAGGAAATAAAATTTATGTATTTTATTTCATTGAATAAATAATATGTATGCACGTAGTTCAAAAATACAAAAGGGTAAATTATGCAAGTCCCCTTTCTCTTGTCCCAGCCACCCAATTGGCTCTCTGGAGGTGGTCAGTCAGTGTTACCAATGCCAGAGATACTCCATGTATACACAAGCAGATAGGATTGCATATACTTGTTCTTTTCTGTTCCCTCCCCTCCTCCCTTTCTTCCTTAAGGTGGAATGGTAGCATTTCCTACACACTGCTCACTTTGCATCTCAGAGATTGTTCTGTGTTGGTGCGCACAGGGCTGCCATCTGCTTTGGAAGAGCTCATGATATTTCACTGTCTGACCATGCCAGAATTTGTTTAAGCAGTCCTCCAACAGCCAGGCATTGAGGTCACTTCCAGTCTTTTGCTACACTAGTAATGCCATGGCAAATAACCTCTGTGTTTGTCATTGTGTTCCTATATGAGTATATTGGTTGGAAACATTCCTGGAAGTAGAATTGCTGGGTTAAGGTGCAGTGTGTTTGTCAGATGGATGGAGATCACCAGTTTGCCCTCTGCAGATTCTGGGCCATGTATGTTTCACGGCAATGTGTGCTGCCTGCTGCTGCACAGCTGTGCTCACAGGGTGGGATCTGTGATATTATTTGGGTCTCTGATATTATCATGGGTGAAAAATGATGCTGGCAGAGTATTTTTCATTCCCATTTCTCTAATTAAGAGTATGATTGAGCTTATTTTTATTTGAGCCATTTTATTTCCTTTTCCATGACTTTGTTTATATTTTATTAAAGAAAGCAAAAATAAAAAAATATCAGCTCATATAAAAACATGCTTTTTTAACTGAGTTTGTTCACATTCAAACGTATTTTTATATGTTGTACTTATCTCTAGCCTGTCAGTTTTTAGTCTACCTCCTTCCACTACTTATCACTGCAAAAGTAGTTCATATTGTTTCCATATAGGCTTCATGTTAATCATTTTTATATACCCAGATGTGGTATTTCACTGAGTTAATGCACTGCATTAAATTGACCATTCTGGATTGGAATGGTCAATTTAATATGGTCAATTTAACATTTGGGTTGTTTCTAGACTTTTCCTGATTTAGGGAAGATAAGCAGTTTATTGGTTGTTCTTTAAGATTACTTTTAAATAAGACCAGGAGATAAATATGTCTTGTGGATGTGCAAGGGAGTCCAGAGTTAAGTAAATTTACAGCAGCAGCATTTACCATCTTCATACTGTTAGATGAGGTGCATGGCACTAATGTGATTGTTTTACATGTGTGATCGAACGCTGGCACCGTGATCCCATGTTAATTTTCATTCTTTGAATTTCTCCCCTTTCTTCACATTTTAAAATGACATCTTAAGGGGCCGGCCCGGTGGCGCACTGGATAGTGCGCCGCTTGGGAAGCACGGCGGTGCTCCCGCCCGAAGGTTCGGATCCCACATACAGACCGGTTCCCGCTCACTGGCTGAGCGAGGCGCGGGCGCAACACTGAGGGTTGCGATCCCGTTGCCGGTCCCCGGTCCAGTACGGGGGCAACACTGAGGGTTGCAATCCGTTGCCGGACACGGAAAAAGACAAAAGACCAAAAAAAAAAAATAAAAAATAAAAAATAAAATGACATCTTAAGAGCCACAGAGACAATTAAATGACTGTTATAAAGAGAGTAATAGGTGCCTAATTTGGCATTTTCTCAAGTGGCCTGCTATTCTGCATGGCCACGCTGGAGTTCTGTGACATAGCTGCATTTGATGTTCACAATAAAGACCTAAGTCTTTAGAGATGCTGGCTCTAAGTCATCAGAGAGAGACAATGTATTCCCTGTCATTGTAATGGCTGATATTAGGAGTCAGCTTAGCCTCGAGCTCTTGCTTCATTACACGCAAATTGTGTGTTTCTGGGTGAATTGCTCAACTTCTGTAAGTATGTGCTTTCTCATCTCTGAAATGGAGAGGATGGTCTTATCCACCCGAGAGGACCGAATGAGGAGAGAAGTATGTCTCAGAGCACAAGGCTCTGGACACGAGCAAGCTATCGTAAGAGTATTTTAAAGGAAGTGCATGTGATAATTCTTGGGAAAATTTTATCCCATAAATGGGGTAGGAAAAAACCTAATTTCTTAACAAGGCAATTTAATAATCTGAAGTCTCCCCCTTTAAACAACTGGTAGCTAAGAGTTTAAGGTGTCTGAAAGTTTGCAGTGTGCAGGCAGAAGGCACATCTGTAAAACCGACGAATATTTCAGAAGGAGAAAATGGAAGAAAGCAAACGGTTCAGCTAGATGTGTAAGTTTTTTTTTTCCTTTTTGTCTTTTTTCGTGACCGGTAACAGGATCGCAACCCTTGGTGTTGCGCCCGCACCGCGCTCAACCAGTGAGCGGACCGGTCTCTATATGGGATCTGAACCCTCGGCGGGAGCGCTGCCGCACTCCCAAGCGCCGCACTCTACCGAGTGCGCCACCGGGCCGGCCCAAGATGTGTAAGTTTTGAAAAACCCCATTACTGGCATGTTCCATACAGAGTTCACCTCTGCCAGCTGTCAGCACTTTCTTCTTGCTTCTGGCCACAGAAGCACAGTTGTCAGTATTGGTGGATAGTGCACCTGCTTCGCTGGTTGTTGCTTGGGGTCTGGGGGTGCTGCAGCTGATGGGGCAGCCGGGGTGGGGCAGGAAGGGGCACAGACTGGAAGATGAGGCCCATATGTGTGCATCGGGGCTGTCCTGCTCTCAGGCCCACATGTATTCAGGTGGCAGGTTTCATAATGCAGGTGGTTTGGCCTAGTGATTTATGGTACTGGTTCTGGCACTGGGCTGCGGGGGTCAGATCATTGCTCTATTGCTTACTAGTTGTGTCACCTTGGACAAATTACTTAACTTTTATGAAAAAGAGATGGCTCTCAGTTTCCTTAGCCATAAAATGGGGATAAGAAAACTGTCTACCTCATAGAGTTGTTGCATGGATAAAATGAGAGACTGTATGTCAGCTCAGTAAATGTGCTTCATAAATGCTCAATAAACGTTAACTATCAATATCATTTTTCTTTAATATAATAATGATGTTATTAGGAAACCTTGCCTCATTAAAAGTTATATTTTAAGAGCAATGGTGCAGAAAGAATTAAAACCTAGGCTGTTTCAGAGTCATAAAAGTGAAATTGATTTTTCCTGTAAGTATTCTTCCTTCTTGCCTTCCTGCCTTCTTGCCTGTGGGGTACAGAATTGAATATCATTACCTATGTGCAATGTGTGAGGCTTAAATAAGGATAATTAGTATATTCAACAGTATACAACGTAATTGTTCTGTAAGTATTCTAATGCTAAGAGTGTGTTAGTGTGTATGTGTTCTACTGGCTCTGAGTGTATGGTTGTAACACTGAAATGTCACTGAGAAAATATAGCATTTGATTACATATTCCTTTTGCACAGAATTAGTGGCTTCCCTAGAACAAGGTCATATATCTAGCCCAGGGCTTTTGTGGCCCTGAGCAGCTGCTAGCTTCTGATGCGGAGGTGTTATATAGTCAGTAGCAGTTAAGGCTGTGTAAGTCACATTCCTCTAAATAATTGATTGCCTTGTTTCCAATTGAATTAAGAAAATTCAAACTATGAGACAGATGTTAAAAGAAAGACACAAATTTACACGAGGAGAAATCCCTTTGAGGGAAGCATGTAAACAGGTTGTTAGATTATTGTGGGGACATTTTTTATTTCTGCTCTTGGTGGCTTAAAACAACAGATATTTATGATCCTTCACAGTTTCTGTGAGTCAGGAATATAGGAATGGTTTAGCTGGGGGTTGTAGTAAAGCTGTTGGCCAGAGTTGCTGTCATCTGAAGGCTTGACCAGGGCTTGACCAGTGCCCTTATCTAGCTATTGGCAGGAGACTTCACATCTTTGCCATGTGGGCTGCTCACAACACAGTAGTTGATTTCCCAGCGTGAATAACCCATGAGCAATAGAGAGTACATCCAAAATGGAATCCACCATGTTTTTTTTTTTTTGTCTTTTTCCGTGTCCGGCAACGGATCGCAACCCTCAGTGTCGCCCCCGTACCGGACCGGGACCGGCAACGGGATTGCAACCCTCGGTGCTGCTCCCGCGCCTCGCTCAGCCAGTGAGTGGGAACCGGTCTGTATGTGGGATCCGAACCCTCGGGCGGGAGCGCCGCCGCGCTTCCCAAGCTGCGCACTATCCAGTGCGCCACCGGGCCAGCCCTCCACCATGTTTTTTATAACCTATCCTGGAGGTGACACAAGATCACTTCTACACAGATCAACCGTAGTTCAATGTGGGAGGAGAATACACAGGGGTGTGCACAGCAGAAGACAGGGGCCACTGGGGGCTATCTCGAAGGCTGCCTGCTACCCGCATCAGGCTCTGCTTTCTCCTAGGGCAGACACTACTTGTATTAGTCAGCATCATCCAGAGAAACGGACTAATAGGATGTATGTAACTCTCTAGAAAGAGACTTATTATGAGGTATTGCTTCACATGATTATGGGGGCTGAGAAGGCCCACAAGCTGCTATCTGTAAGCTGGAGGCCCTGGAAAACCAGTGTAATTCAGAGGTCTGAGAGCCAGAGAGCCAATGGTGTAGACTGCAATCTGAGTCTGAATACCTGAGAACCAGGTGTGCCGAGGGCAGGAGGTCGATGTCCCAGCTCAAGTGATCAGGGAGATCACTCTTTTGTCTTTTTGTTCTATTCAGGCCCTCAACGGATTGGATGATTCCCACCCACACTGGGGAGGGCCATTTGCTTTACT